GAAAGGTGCAGGAAATAATTGGAAAGGATTCTGTTTATTGATGAGCAGGACCATAGATTCAGTTCTGGGACAGCTGACGAAATGGTTGAATGAGTGAATGGATCTTTATAGGTTTCTGTAACTTTGAAGTTTGTACTTTTCTGGGGATTGTGCAATGAAGGGGCTTGTGTCTTTTGCTATTTCAGTGGTGGTAGGTTAATCCTATTATGTCCTAAAAGGTCATGTCCTTTCCTTGGTATTTGGGTGGGGGAATACAAATTCTTAATCCCATCACCTGGAGCTGAAGGTGTTGTGGATAGATTGGCACAATCTTTGTTAATGGGGACAAAATATCCATCTCTAAAGACTTCAGGCATCTGCTGGAGGCTGTTTTACTATGCTTTCTGTCTTTAAGAGCATGTTTCTCCATTTCTCCTTTGGGGAAATATAATATTCTGCCTCTATTGATATTCCTCAAAATATTTCATTCTCTGGGAGGGGATGCATAATTACTTCTTACAGAAGATTTTTTTAAAAAAAATATTGATTCATTGCTTTGTTGATTCATTGATTCTTTGATCCTTTGATCCTTTGATTCGTTGATTCATTCATTTATTCAATAGCTGCCCAACTCTACAATTAACACTGGGTGGTGTATATTAAAAGCATAAAAAATAATTAGAAATAATTAAAACAGTACAGAATAAATAGATATGACACTAAGTAAAATGGTTACTATGGATGTTAAGGCAGCCAGTAAGTGGGGTCCTTAACACATTTAGAGCCTCAAGTCCAGGCACACAACCAAGTCTCATAGCCTTGTGAAAGGCCAAAAGTCTCAGTGTCATCCTGATATCTGAAGGAAGAATATTCCAGAGGGCAGGAGCCATTAAATCTCTGCATAAAGAAATGAATATTAAAAAGGGAAGAAAATAAAGGGAAGATGGGGAAAAAAAGTTTAACATTCAATTATGGAGGCTTAATTTATTTAAATATAAAAATTTAGGGCCTTGCAGCTTTTATTTTTCCATGTTTTGAAAAGGAGGCAGCATAAAATTCCTGTCTGCCAGCAAAAGCCAATTGGAAGTATATTATAAAGTGCTGGAGTTGACCTATAATGCCCTTCAAGCTTGGCACTGGATATCTATGGGACTGCCTTCTAACAACGTTGGCCTGATCTATTAGAAAAAGCTATTAATGCAGGGGTGTCAAACTTGCAGCGTCATGTTGTTGTCACATGATGTATCGTGACTTCCCCCCCCTTTGCTAAAATGGGGGTAGGCGTGGCGAGCATGTGACAGATCTGGCCCGCGAGCCACAACTTTGAGACTCCTGTATTAATGGTTCCACATTTTCAGGAGGGGAATGGAATCAAGGGTGTTCTTTCTTTGCAACACTGCTGCCATTACTCTGGAGCAAACTTAACACCTTCCTACTGGCTTTTAAAAATCGGTTAGAAATGAAATTATTCTCCAGAGCATTTTCTGGATTTTTAAAAATTAATTTCTTAGCAAATAATGGCAATTTGGTGTCGCTGCAAAGACTAAGAATTGTCCAATAAGAAGTATGTTTCCGTGTGTGCTTTCATCTCTGTGCCAGGCATCTATTTTTTAAACTCTTGGAATGCTGGACCATAAAATTACCTCAGCAAGAAAAAAAAATGTAGGAAAAGGCAGGAAATGCAAACTAATCAAAACTTTGGTCTTGAGAAAAGTTTTAAACAATTAGAGGGGAAAAAAGAAATAGAGCAATTTGGAATCATTTAGTGTAATACACCAGATGCCTGCATTTTGTACATTTGGCGTATTAAAAGAGATGGGGAAGACTGAAATAAATTGGACACAATGGTAAACTTTTTAAATAATAGTTATGACTCAGGAAAAACATAAGAGCACTCCATATGTACCCGAGACCCATCAGGCACAGATTCAATCCCAGCACTGTTTTTTTAAATGCCTCAAAGCTTTTAACAAAGTTAAAGTTAAAAGCTCTAAGATATTTGACATTACAGCTGATTTACCTTTTCAGTGTATTGCTGCTTGTGAATTTTTATGTCTCTCAGCAATAATAAGTAAGCTGAAATTTGTTGCAATGAAAAGTGATAATATTCAGTGAATTAAAAAACGACGGAAATCAATACCTTATACGGCAAGTAGAGAATAAGAGAATAAGGGGGTAGATTTGTGTGTTGTGTTTGTGAGGCTTTCTACTAGGAAAAGATTAAATTCAGTAATACAATTACATAATAAGTGCTAATAAATATTGTTCCCTAGCAAAGAGTTTTAGGCCATTTTATAAAGAACAAAATCCATATGGCGGTTAAAACTTTGGACTAGGTCCAGCTTCGAGTCCATCCTCAGCCACAGAAGCTCCCTGAATGATTTTGAGCCAGGCACACTCTCTTAGCCCTCTTTGCTTCACAGTGTTATGGGACTAAAATAAATATTTATTTATGTGGATTTAAAGGCTGCTTAACTCCCAAATGACTCTGGGTGGGTTACATTTTAAAGGTAGGTTGCAAGGGAATGAGAAAAAAAAAGTATGTCCATGGAACCACACATACAAAAAAAATACTGATACTCCAAAAAAAGTAAAACATATGAGACTTAGCAGCCATCCTAATCCCAGGCTTGAGAACAATTGCAGGGTGGGACCCAGAGACTACCTATTTCCTAGGCCCTAATAAGTAACATTGTTTAATTGAAGGGGCCTGGAGCACACCTACTCTGTCTGAACTTACAGGGCAGGTAGAAACTACCAGAAACAAATAAATAGTCAAGACAAATAGTCTTGAATGATACCTAGAAGCAACTCATGTAGAACTCAGAAGCAGTGGTGACATGTATGTGCTACTGCAGTGGTTTTCAACTTGTGGGCCATGAACCCCTGGGGGGGGAGCAGGGACAGAAGTGCTATCTTAAGTTACTGCATTTTTCAGACTACAAGATGCTCTGGACTATAAGACGCACATTAGCTTTAGAGGAGAAAAAATATCTGTCTCTATATTCCAGCATTCATCTGGTATTCATATGGCTAGCATCCTTGCAGCAATCAGAAAACAGCCTGGTCATCTTCAGCATGTTATTGCAGCCCCAGCACGTGGCTCATCAGTGCTCTATTCCATTGCACCTACTACTAGTCAACTGAGCTGACTTACTGCCACCGCCGGGGAATGCTGGCCTTTGCTGCCGAGCAGCTGATTGGCAGTTGAAGCGGGCTCCCAGAATACTGCCAATCAGCTGTTCTAGGTGGCGGGGATCAGCGCTGCCCATTCGCTGCTGCCCATTCGCTGCCACCTGTTTGCTGCAACCTGTTTGCTGCCAGCCATTTTTCCCCACCCATTCACCGTGGCCTGTTTGTCGTGGCCCTTTCACCACTGCCCATTCGCCGCCGATTGCCAACTAGAACAGCTGATAGGTACTGCACCAACTCCCCTCCCCCTGTCGCAATATTCACTCTATAAGACGACAGATATTTCCATTCACTTTTGGAGAGGGGGCAAAGTGCGTCTTATTGTCCAAAAAATACAGTAGGTCTTGGGGGCGCGTGGCTACAAAAGGTATTTAACATGGATACATGCGGAAGAAAAAGTTGAGAACCACTGTGGTACTGTATTCTGGGCCAGCTGTACCTTCAAGGGCAGTCTCATTACAGTGCAGTGGTCCATTTGTGGTGTACCTACAGCATGAGTGACTATTTAAAAAGCCTTCTGCTTTAAGAATGGCTGGAACTGGTGCACTGGAGGGATCTCGTGTAAGCCGCCTAGCAGACAAGTACAATAGAAATTCTAACAAATATAAGTATGTATATAAAATGAGTAAATTGCTATATTGGTACTCCTGCAAAACTCTTTGTTGCGTACATTGCCATCCAGATTTATTGAAATATGGGATTGATGAATCATAACAGGACTTATGTCAAATGTAGAAAAGTGGCACTCTAAAAATGTACCGTTCACCAAAGGAAACCCTTTCTGCATACTTCATATATCCAGCATAGCAAATATACAAAGTATCTGGGAAAAAAAATTCAGTTAAAAAAAAACAACTTAGAAATGAGATAGTAAGCCTTTGTTTTTCTGGGAAAATAGATCTCCAGTGACTCAGTTGAGACATTTACCTCTGATCTTCATTCACGTTTCAGCACAGCTGCTTCCTTATTTAGTGATTTAAAATGTTTATAACTTGCCCCACATCACTGAATTCCAAAGGAAGGCGCAATGAAAACAAATTAGTCAATCTAACAATAAAACTTAGATTTATATAAGGGGCTTGCCTGAAATGAATGTGGTTGAAAACAAAACAGAAGCCAGTTTAACCATTCCCCTGGCCCCCTTGATAGGAAATCTATTCTCCAACTCCAAAATAATTTGCTACCAGGTTAGCAAATGACACCCAAACCCCATTTTCTAGGCGCATAACAGTCACCCAGCTATAGTAGTTCCTCTCCTAGAAATATGAAATATTTTAGGAAATATTAAAAGGACAGAATATTTCCCCTGAAAGGGAGGCAGAAACTTAGCCCCCCACCTTTGTCAATGGGCCATTAAAGTCTGGGCCAGTCTATTCCACATAACAAAGATCTACCTCCTTCAGGCAAAGCCATAGGACGAATTGTCCCAAACCCTTTCATTACATCATCACCCAGCAAGGCTCAACCAAGCTTGGGACTCAAAAACGCAACCTACAAAGTTGCTCCTGCATGGCCCCATGGGAGTCTGACAACCAATCAGAATTCAAGCTGAAATTCAAAAACCCAGAGAGGACATAAAACCCAGGTACTCCAAACATCTCTTCCCCCCCCCTTTTTTTTTGCCTAGGACCTCAAACCATGTGATCCTGTCCATCATCAAACCATCTTTCCAAGCAGCCTCCATGTTTACAGTGTCTTTCTCCCCACTTGGAACTGAACCCAGATGGACATTTCTTCCAACAGTAGCAAATTCTAGAAATATTAAAAAAAAACATGAGAAGGCAAACCCAGTAGCAATACAATTTTAAAAAAAACAACCTTTGGCTGACATTCAAACCAGTTACTTCGCTCTGCCTATTTGTCACCTTGCTGCATTGGTATCTTTAATATTCCCCTCAGGCTTAAAAGCCTCTTGTCACATCGAAAATGTATAGTGGGAAGGGGAAGTGACGTTTCCTAAATTGTACAATAGCAAGAAATGGAATCGCAGAAAGGGAAGAAGAGTGAGAAGCAGAAGGAGGAAAAGAACTCTGTTACTGTCCTTTGGTTCCTGGCATTGCACATCTTCAGGCACATCTATGCATAACCATGCACCACCAAGCGACAGGAGAATCACTCTCTGCTGAGTGAGATCTCAGCCCACTTCTGATCTTTAATAGATTCCTGAGGATGGGACTGAAGAAATGGCCTAGGGTGACACCTAACGGCCAAAAGAAACCCTGTATTACAACAACACAGAATCCGTACATTTTATCCATGAATGACTGTGAAGAGCTGACAGCAAGCTCGGCTCCTCCTCCTCCTCCTTCTCCCGCTCCTCCTCTCTGTCCTCCTGCATTCATTTGAGAGCAAACTTGTGGAGCTGCTAAATGTGTCACAAGGGCAAAAAGAACTCACCTGACGTTTCTTGGACCTTCCCAGCTGGATAGGACTAGCTTCTAATATTTATTTCTAGAGAAGGGGGAAAAGGAGAGAGAGAGAGAACTCTTTGGTTCAGGAGTTGCTAAAAGAAACAAAGCAAAATGTGAGCTAAAGGTAAGAAGGATTTCTTTGTAACTTTGAAAGGCACTTTTAGGCAAGGCATGCTTGTGTGTTTGTTAATTGTGTCATCCCTCGAGTTTTCATTTAATTGTAGTCTGGCTTTCTTACATCTATATTTAGACTGATGCAGAAAGCCATCCGTATACAAGGAGGAACTGGGATAAATACTGCAGCTGAAAAAAAAGAAGAAGAAAGACTTGGAGAACTAATAAGCAAGTCTTGACTGTTGCTTGGAAGTAAATGGGAACAAGCCACTGAAATTACACTCCTGAATTTGAATGAATGCCTTGTGAGAGAGCAGAAAGCTGAAGGTTGTCAGAGATTCAGAATGTGACTATGTGGCTCTCAATGTTGGTATAATTCCTTATTTATTTATTTTCTCCCCAATTTTTTTTTTTGCTATAGGAGGAACAAATGAAGTAATTTGGAAGGAGAGCAGGATTTATCCTGCAGGTGGAAAGGTACTCACAACTATATACATCAACTGCATCTACAGATCCAGGTGAAGGATCCAAAGCGAGAAGGAGTAAACGGGACTTTGAAAAAAAAAATAGAGGCAAAGGGCCAAATGGGTGTAAAGGGGCCTTCAGGAAAAGGAAAGAAGCACTGAAAGGCCTGGTCCCAAGAAAGGGGAGGCTCTAAAGGACACACTGCACTGCAGAGAAGGCGTCTCTCTCTTCTCAGTTCAGCCTTGCAAAAGATTCTGGGTGGGAAGCATCTACCATGAATTCTTCTTTGTATTGTTCAAATTGTTCCTTGGGCAACGCCACCTTGGATTCACAAGCCAATCAAACTTCAGTCATAAAACGGAACGAGGACATTGCCAAGGTAGAGGTGGCGGTGCTGTGCCTCATCTTTTTCCTTGCCCTGACGGGAAACTTATGTGTGCTGCTGGCGATCTACACGACCCGCCACAAACATTCCCGCATGTACTTCTTCATGAAGCACCTGAGCATTGCTGACCTAGTTGTGGCCCTCTTCCAGGTGTTGCCTCAGCTCATTTGGGACATCACCTTCAGGTTCCACGGGCCAGATTATCTCTGCAGGTTGATCAAATACCTGCAAGTGGTGGGGATGTTTGCTTCCACCTACATGCTGTTGCTGATGTCGCTGGATCGGTGTTTGGCCATCTGTCAACCCTTGAGGTCTTTACATCGGAGGTCGGACCGGTTGTCTGTGCTCCTCACATGGGTGGTGTGCCTCCTCTTCAGCATCCCGCAGCTCCAGATATTTTCTATGAAGAATGTGTCCCACGGGGGGATGGACTGCTGGGCAACATTCATCCAGCCTTGGGGTCCTAAAGCCTATGTCACCTGGATGACCTTGACTATCTACATCATCCCAGTGATTGTGCTCAGTGTCTGCTATGGCTTGATCAGCTTCAAAATTTGGCAAAATGTGAGGCTGAAAACCGTCCATGAAACAAGTGTGAGTCTAACCTCTAGTAATTCTCATGGAGGCACACTCTCCAGGGTGAGCAGTATCAAACTCATTTCCAAAGCCAAGATACGGACAGTCAAAATGACCTTTATTATTGTCTTAGCCTTCATCATGTGCTGGACTCCGTATTTTATTGTGCAGATGTGGCTTGCATGGGATGAAAATGCTCCAAAAGAAGGTATGGTTTGTTCTCCTTTTTTATACCTGCCTATGTCGCTTTGTGCAATAATTTGCCTCACTATAATTTCTTTTAAAATGTATCTATAGCTGAATTATTATCTATAGAGTTGATCAGTAATGTGGCATTCAACAAAGCATTAGTAAATGTGCAGATTAAGAAAATGAAACATTATTCAAATGAAAAAAGATCATTGGCTAGGACGATAGAACAGGTAAAATCTAAAAAATGATTTGAAATCTTAGATGTTATGTGTGTGACCTTGGATAAATTACCAAATATCTCTGGCCATAATTGTCCTGTGATAACATAGAGAACTTAGATGCTTTTATTAGGAAGCTGTAAATCTGGAGGAATAGGAATAGTTGGCATAGAAATGTCAGGCATTTTTTTCATACTAAGCCACATCAAATAATTTTCTGTTAATCTCAGTGAGAGCACATGAAAGATAATGTTTATATCAATTTCTGTGAGCAAATGGGAAATTGCTTTTACAAGTAAGATGGAAGTGCCACTGCAGCTATAATCTTTTTCACAGAAGGAGTTCAACACTGTCATTTTGACTTTACTCCATAAATTGGCTGATTTCTATATGCTAGTTCAGAAATGAAGGAAGCAGAGGAATTTTGTGAATGAGTTCTACAGGCTATCATTGACTGGGGAGTTGGGAGCTTAATGCGGAGAGGCACTAACCAAATGCACTATTTATGTTAGGAATGGCAAAGATTGAGAAGGGCTAAAGACTAAATCACACTAATAGAATCATTTGTAAAAAAAAGTTTAATCATCTAAAAATGCTTCTCATTTGCCTAAAATTAATTGTAGGATAATCTATTAGCAAAAAGGACTGAAATATGATATTGGATATGATGTTACTTTCTGATTTGTTCTGCCCCCCTTTTTTCTGTTACTTTGAAGAAGTGGATTGTCATCACTGGGTACTTAAGATATCTCAAAGTTCTCTGCTCTTTTATTTGTCCCAGAACTGGAAAACTTCACTTTTTCTTCTGAGAAATAAGAAACTAATAGACACTGTACTTATGGCTTTGGCTGCTATCACTCTGGTATCAACAATGATTGGTTCAAAATAAGAGCTATGTGGCAAGACATACTTTTCAGCATACTCTCTAATATCTAAATCAACTTTCCATATACATTTATCTACCACCAATGTCCAGTCTACAGAGACGATGCTGAAGTCTATCACCTGTCTCACAAATGAATGCACACAATTTTTGTGTGTCTGTGTGTGAAAATACTCAGCCTGGCACTACCATCATCACTTCAAAAACATGTAACTGAGAAGGGTTGGACAGATCCCATTGTAGTCTGGGCGTCGAATGTGTATTTTGCTGAAAACCTGTACCTCTTGTTTGGGATGTTGCAAGTGGAAAGTCCAATACTAGTTGCAGCAAAAGAGACTTATACGATACCAATATTTGTAGCTCAGGGTTGAACTGTGGAGTCCTTGGTGCTCTCTGAGTTTGATTTTCTTGAAGATGTTTCATTACCAAGCCAGGTAATATCATCCATGAAACCAGGTAACATCAGTGCTAGTAGGATTAGTCTCTGTGCAAAAAAAACCAACCAAGCTCAGAGATTATCAAGACCCCATAGGTCTTATATGGCTAGAACTTTAAATGCAAGTTCCACTCCTACCCGTTCAGAAAAGAAATATTTGCAAAACAAATGTTTAGCCATAACAACTGGGGGGAAAAAACAAAAATGAAATGGACGGAGACTTGGCAAAGTAATTAAATTTGGTTGGACCCGTTAAAAGTTAGACAAAAGTTGGATGACTCTGGATGATTGATAGATGGTTACCTTTGTGTGAGAGATGAACCATTAAGTTCTTTCCAGCTCCATTATGTCTTTTTTTTTTTACTTTAGTAACATCAGTTACATTCATACTCTGAATGCCCAGCTACTGCGATTCAAATGGGTGGTGTTCACTCATCTCTCTCCAACTTCAAATACCTTGCTTCTTCTTTTCCCACAAAAGATAATTTTGAGATAATGCATTTTTTTTTCAGTAGGAACATAAAGGATGAGCCTCCTTAGCCGTTTTATCTTCCTATTTTTTCCATTTCAATTATCCTTCCCAAGCTAGGAGGAGGAAAGATAGTCTTGGTGTTGCAGTAAGGATGCAGAGAACCCAGATTTGTCTTCCTCTTCTGACTGCAACCCTCTTTAATCAGGGACTTTCTTTCAGCCTAACCTCTGTTCTTTGTCCTGTTATACATATCAGCTTGGTGCATGAGGAAAGTCATCATATTCTATCTCAATGAAAAAAAAAATAAGAATAAAATATTCGCTAGGCATTGTTTTATTCTCCACAAATCAAAAATATATTAAGGACTGTAAATCATTCCACCAATCATAAAAGAATCCAGGAACTGGATCTGTTCAAGCAACTGCAGGCTAAGTTTGCTGGGTAGAGCAACTGTGACAACAATATCTTTCCACTAACTTTGATGTAAATATGGCAGCCTTGTGGTAGCCTATTGCTATAATAAGTTTGGACTAGTGGTTAAGACACCAGGTGCGAAGCCAGGAGACTGTGACTGTCCTGCGTTAGGTGTGAAAGCCGACTGGGTGACCTTGGATGGCTAAAACAAGGCACAAACTTAAATCAGAAAAAAAATCTAGGCTACGGCTCTTGTGTTGTGAGGAAAGGAATGGATAAAATTGGTACATGATGTCAAAGCAACTTTTAAATAGCCAACTTCAGGTTGCAGCCAGAACTCATTTAACAGGGAGTAAACTTATCTTAAGAATGTGGGACTATCTTTGGAGTAAGCACGCACTGTGCATTTCATGCAAGGATTATTAAGCAAATACTAACAATTCCCAGCCCAACTCACCTCAAAAGGTGGTTGTGGAGAAAATAGGAGGAGGAAAAAGTAATTAGGTATGTTTTCCACCTTGAGATATTTCTGAATATAATAAAGGTGGAATCAAAATTTTAAAAAACTGCAATCTGGTCAGCTCTTATTTCTGTCAGATCTTTTGTCCTTTGTCAGTCAAAGAAATATTTTCAATATTTCTTTTACTCCAGTCATCGTGGATCAAAGATTTTATTTCCACCACAACTGCTACACTGTGTGAAAGTGGATTCCCCTTGTGCATTAGCAGACCAGGAAGACTTTTAAGAAAAAAATATTGTGAAGTTTGCAAAGTTTTTGCAAACCCCTCTAGCCCATCAATTTGACCACATTAATTTCACTTTGTTCACAAACAGTGAGAGAAAATGAAATGGATAGAAGACAGGAGATAGCAAAAGCGGAACAAGGGAAAAGAGGAGCCGTGGGAGTATGCAAAATGTCTCACAGCAGAGATAACCACAAAATGAAAAGTGAAGAAAAATTCATCTGGGAATTGGCCTGATAAAGAGTATGAGGAGCTTTCCAAAGTTTCATTATACATTGCATGGACAATGTTCCTTGCTTTCAGGGCAAAGGAGATTATCTTACTTCCGATATGGGCTTTTATTTGCCAAAGACCATAAAAGAGTTTCCAATAAGAATATTTCTTTGTAACACTTTGCCTGCCAAATATTCCAAGTGCTCAAAGGACTAGAGGGATTAGACTTGTCTTTGAATTGGCAGTAGAGATGAGTAGAGACACTTAATTTTGTCGTTCTTAAACTTCTATTTCAGAAACGTTGTAGCCAATAAAATGCGGATGCATCATAATTGACGATAATGAATCGAGTGAAGAGTTTGATCCTATTAAATGTTGCAAATGCCTCCTTTTCAGAATGATCTGGTGAACATGTTTGTCCACTGTAGAATGAAATAAGCAATGTCCCTCTTAAAGAAGGGGTGCTTCCACGAGAATCCATCAGAAAAAGAAAATAAGCAAGGGCAACAATGGAAAGGAGGGAGGATGAGGAGGGAAAGGAAGAAAGGACAAAGTAGAGGAAGTAAGGGAGGGGATGTAAGAGTAGGAGAGAGGGTAAGAAGGAGGAGGAGGAGTGGGGGAAAGAGAGGAGAAGAAGAAAAGAAGGAGAGGAGGAAAGAAGGAAGGCAGAGAAGGGAGATTGAGAAGATAGAAGGAGTAGGGTTGTTGCAAAACAAGATGGAGGTATGGGGTGGCAAGAAAGTGACCCGAACTGTGTTTTCTATATTTGTAGAAAGATAGTGATAAATGTATATAGTTAATAAATAAATGTTAATAGTACTTACAAGAGTGTATATTTGTGAATGTATTTGAATAGAAAAAATAAAAAACCTATATATTAAAGAAGAGGTGCTTATAGTTTAGTAAGAGGTTAAGCAAATAAGAATACAGTTCAGATATTGACCTTCCTGTTCTAGACTTGACCATAGTCTTCCTCAACTCAATGCCCTCCAGATGTGTTGAATTAATATGTTTTAGTATTCTCAGATTATTTCATGGAGTGTCAAACCAAGGAGAGTAGATTGTTTGTTCATTTGTATCCCATCTTTATTGTTTTTATAAATAATTCAAGGTGGCAAACATATTCAACACTCCATCCTCCTATTTTCTCCATAACAATAAACCTGAAGTGGTTGGGATGAGAAAGAATGACTGGCCCAAAGTCATCTCAGTCGGCTGTCATGGCTAGGGTGAGTCTTGAGTATGGTTTTGTAGTCTGCTTTAACCACTAGATCAAACTTAATTGCTATTAAACTTTCCTCTTGAATCTTGTGCAGCCGTTAGCAAATAGCAATAGCACTTAGACTTATATACCGCTTCATGGTGCTTTTACAGCCCTCCCTAAGCGGTTTACAGAGTCAGCATATGGCCCCCAACAATTTAGGTCCTCCTCATTTCACCCACCTCGGAAGGATGGAAGGCTGAGTCAACATTGAGCCTGGTGGGATTTGAACTGCAAAATGGCATGCAGCCAACAGTCAGCAGAAGTAGCCTGCAGTGCTGCATTCTAACCACTGTGCCACCAAGGCTCATATCTATATGATAGCTACTGCTCTAAAAGATAGTGAGCAAAAGAGTAGCAGACGATTTGTGATGGG